TCTTTTGGCGCATTACCTGTCAGTCTGTGGTGAATCACTTTCCCATATATCGTTAAACGGTGTTCCTCGTTGTAGGAAGAAAGTTTGACCAGTATCTATTGACAGCAATAGCAACTGACAAATAAGCAGCCAACGTAGATGTGTTAAAGGCATTTGCACAAAGGGTCTGCATAAAATATAATTCTTCCGAACTCTTTGTGTGAAAATAAATTGAACCAATTAACCGAGGCAAGTGAATAGTATCGCTGGTATGTGGTTTTTTTTAACGTAACATTTTGTAAAAGCCTGCAAAGACTTGTAGGGGCCTAAATTAGCACTACCACAAAACTCTGTAGATAACAGCCGATCACAACCCGAGAAAAGAGAAGGTTTGCTTTCTTGATGGTCCATGTCGGGGTCACCAATTTGTTGAGGCCCTTTACCACACGAAGTAACTGAGAAGATGGTGGTGGTGGTGGTAGTGGTGGTGGTGAGGGTGGTAGTGGTGGTGAGGGTGGTGGGGGTACATGCAGATGGGCTGATGAACCAGCAACCTTACGTGACTGACGGGCACGCCATGTAAAAGGGGGGACGTGTGTTGGAACCTGCGATGACCGGGTTATTGGACATGAATCAACACGATTCACTACCGACTCTACTAAGTGTTATTAGTTTTAAAGCTCTTTTGGGAGTAATTTTCGTTACGAGAGGGTCAGTCAGTAGATCCGTTATTTGTTCAGCCACAATGTTTGTTAGTTCTTTTGTGGCACGTGTTCGGTATGTTGCGGTTGTGGCAATTTGAAGGCCGATATTCGTACATATGAATAGTTCCAGAAAAACTTGTGTCCGTTTTGTCTGTTCTGCCCCTTTACGGTTTGTTTGTTAACGAGGAAAAGGCTTATCAGGCTGTTTTCTCATTGCTACAAACACAATGCACGAATAACATGCAATTCATCTAACTTCATTATTTAAAAGTGCATTCATGGAGCACTAAAACTAGGCAGAAACCACCCACCAGCCGTCGTGTACGTTGATAATCAACTATGTAAGTCTATGCTATCCACAACGAATGACTTAGACTACAAGACTCATTTGATGTTTTATTGCAGGTATAATATGGGTCAAATCGTGTGCAATATAAATTTTAATAGCAATAAGGTAATTGGATTATCTTTTTGGATAAAACCATGAAAAACGAACCATAGCGAGAAGTATTAAAGTTAAAACTACCCAAGTTTTCAGGACTGACTGGTTATTGCAGTAAGCACATGTGAAGCAGCTGTTGTCCTTGTGGTAGGGCTTTTGCTACTCAAAATGAATGCACTCAAATTAGTTTTGAACGAACGCTCATAAAACACCAAATATTCCTCAGTGGATTGCGCAAATCTGTGAATACTCATTTAAAAAAACTACCAGGCGGTCGGAAAATAAGAAATGCGGGGGTAAACGGGTGCCAATTGGGCATTTCATCAGTCCTTAGCTTAATTTGTCATACAGAGAATAAGTCTTCTCCTTAGAGGTGAAATGAAGATTTAGTCTTGAGATTCAGCATAAGTGACTTTGCCAGTTATAGAAATTTTCACATAGTCACTTGCTAAAAAGTTCTGCCTAATTGACGAACACATTACTAATGTTAGATACATACAACCAGTGCATGGTAGAAATTTAATGTCTGACTTGAAAAACTTCCTTGTTAAAAGGCATTTAACAAAAAGCCTTCTGCAGAAGTCTGAAAGCATTGCATCCCACTCCATAAATTTACCAGTTGATTGGCCTGCTAAAATCCTCGAGACTTATTATCAGCCATACGTTCCAAACTCTGGAAAGAAGAGAATGCTCTTCACTGTCGTTGAATCAAAATGTTTGCAATGCAAATATAGTATTTAATTGCTTGTCATTAGCAGTCAAACCCTGACATTATTTACAATACCAACTTTCAACCAGATTTCTAGCTTACAATATTTTTTGTCTTAAAATCCAAATGCGAATTAGCGCCCAGAGACCGTTAAGGATTTAAAAACTGAATACACGCAATATTTAAACAATACTGATTGCAGTATACTTAATTTGCAGCTTTAATTACAAAAAAAAAACTTTAAAAACCACCCCCTTTTAACCATTTCAGCGCCATGCTCTACGTGGTATCCAAGATTAGACTAACGTAAACTGTGCATTTGTTAAAGTAGGGATTCGATGCCGCTATGTACCCAGTTGTATAGTCCAAACCTGAAAATAAAGTGGCTTTGTTAAATAAAAATTAAAAATAAATGTTTTGCACAATTCTGCTGCTAGTTTTTGCCTTTTGACATTTTGTGTCTGACAGGCTGGCGGGATCTCGTCATCCGATGTTTTGCTCTTTAACCAACACGCTTAAAATGCTTCCTCTAATTTCGTGAAATCAACGTGGGAAAAATACGCGAAAAATAATTTATTGAAATAAGATCACTCCGTCAACCTTCCCGGTTCCAGTGTGAAATGGTGAAATTTGGTGAACAAACCAGGGCGTCGAAAGAAACGATTATCCATAAGTTGAAATCTCCAATTACAAAACCACAAAACATGCATTATGCATGTAAACTATCTATTGCATATGTTGGCCAATAGGAAGTAAAAAGCCAGCATTAGCGTGAAAGTTAACCCATTTTAAACTATCATGATTCCATTGCATTTTGGGCTGCTGATTGTGAGGCAAATGGACACATTTGCCGCCGCTTACATTTCAGTTTTGTCGAATAATGCTTTTATAATTTTTTCCAGAAAAATTCAGTCTACAATGGCTTTACTTCATAAACTTTTGGTGGAGGAGATTCTGCTATTCACAAGAATCTAAGAAACCACTGCCGACAAGCTTGCATTTTTGAATTTGAAGAGTAGTTATTTACCATACACATATTGTTGAACTAAATAGGTGATAAAATGTCTGAACGCTCAGAAGACACATGTTACAATGTGATTTTATCGTGTCAACATTGTCCTCAGTGTTCAGGCTATTTTTTCATAACTTAGACGTCATTAGCTTGCTCTACTTAATGGCTGTCTGCATCATAAAAATTTAGCAACCTTTGAATTTGCATGACCGCTTGACTACAACAAAGTGATTTGTCGAAAGTTTATAAATTTGCACTCGCTTAGTCTACGGTGTGCTACAATTAACTGACCTAGTCTGCCTCATTTTATTAAATCTTCAGTTTTTGATTTGTTTTCTGATTTTTACGTGGGATTAGAGCAAAACGTTACATGGTTTTAGGAAGGCAAAAGAGCCCTTGTCAAAGCAATAACAATATCAGATGCAAACGGAAATCACAATTTAAGCATCAGGTGATTTAGGCAGTCTATTTCATTAATTTTCTAATAAAATGGAACGCTTTTTGATTTGCATCCATTGACTAACTTCATTAAATCTGTCGTTTTCTGAACATAAAATTGCATATTTTAATGTTCCAACGTTGTGGGGTCTTGAACAAAATGAACAAAATTACTAGTTCAAAAAGAATCCAGTTTCTTTGGAGCGTTGGTTTACACTAAGGTGGCTGAAAATTAAGTTCTAGTTAGCTTAAAACGACAACAAGCAAGTACACATACTGCATCCCGTTGTTATGACGACAAGCGTCACCGATCTCTCCTTGCCATCAACTAAAACTAAGTTAGTCAAGCTCTTGCTACCGCTTGAACTAGAACGGTATCAAGAAAACTACTTGAGGACTTCTAAGCAATAAATTTAGAAGTCAGTGCTATCATTTGCATTTAAAAAAACGTGTTAAAATGTGTATTAACGGGGGTCATTTTAGTAATTTCGGGACCGTGAATAGCGGTGTCATAGTTGATTGCGCCAATTTCCTCTTTGGCGTTCAAAAACTGGAATCTGTTCACAGGTAGGTTGTGATCCTTAAAATAAATCGCATTTACAGGGTAGGTCAAAATTGTAAGTAATATTCGCGATTTTTACGGTACAGAAGAATCTTCTTACTGCATCAGCAGCACTCAACTAATTTAAGGTGCCTCACTGCTGCTAAAGCACATTAGGTATAATTACGTCGTGTAGCAGCTGCCTAACAGTGTGACATCGAATGTTAGTGACTAGACAATCAGGCTGTGATCGGGATCCTCTGTATTGAAAAACATTTGACGCAGTCATTCAAAATTGATCCGAATAAGTAACCTCAATCGGTACACACACCAATCCAAAAAAATTAGACTAAAAACTGATAAGAATTTGAAGAAAAATGACAGCACTACATTTCCTTGATGCAAATCGCATTACTTTAAACTTCACCTGGGCCGTGCAATTTGTCATTAGGATTGAAGCAGCCTTTTTAAATACGACCAAACCAATCAGTAAATTTCCTAAAAGTCAATTTATACCCAGTGAACATTCTTTTCTGTAGCTTTTACCGTTGCACCTTTTATAACTAAAAGCATTAAAAGCGTTAAATTCAATTTTTATTTTTTTTATTTTAAACTTTCAGTCTGCAAATAACCTAGTTTAAACGAAGTTGTGTTAAACGCTTTGATAACTTGGGCACAGCTCTATTAAAAATACATGCCTTTGTCATTTATCGAAAAATTGGGCACGATCTTCGGCCATTACCTATTATCAGCAATTGTTTTAAGCGGTGAGATGTCAGTTGTGTTGCTCCCTGGTAATTCCGACAGACGCGACTTCGAGAAGAGGTGTACACCTTACCATTAAGTCTTTTAATTTAAAAAATGAACACTTTTTCTTAAATACTACTTAAGTGGCGTTCTAATTTATTCACGTTTTAAGCAGCAGTTAAAAGGTGTATGGTGTAAGATAGCCGACCTTTTTAAAAGGTAATCACTCACTTAGCTCGACTTCTTGACTCGATTTCTACAAATATGCCAATTTTAAAGAGGTATTAAGTAGGCAATTAAAAAAATTGCACAAATTTCCTGTCAAATCAGCAGTTAGACTTTAGAAATGGTTGACGAATGGAAAGCCTTTGCACAGATTTTAAGTCCAAGAAAATAATCCATTGATTTGCCAGTGTCAGTGTGGACCCCTAGTGGGTGTCCTCGTCGATAACCGAGATAGATCCTCGTGGAGTCATTGGGAAAATGAAACTTAGCCTTTGATTTCTTATCACTCCGACGAAGGCTCTTCGGAAGCTTTTACTCAGTGAGATGTGCAAAATTGGCGTGACGGCGTGAACAGAAATGTGGGCGAGAAGTGCCCAATAGTTTGGTTTCACGATTTTATAAATCACTAAAAAAGACGGCGTCTCAAGTAAGTAGTAGGCGAAGGTTCCAGCACCAAGGATCAAGCTTTTGTGGAGGTTTTTTTTGATTAAAGTGTGCCATTTACGTGACTGAAAGAGAAGCCTGTTTCGTAGTTGATCTAGCGGTTTCTCGGAGCTCACTTGCAGCTTGAAGAGTGAGGCGCTTGCAGAGTGAATCTGTTTCAGCACAGCTGCGTACATAAAAATGGTCAAAATCCACGTAAGAACAAACACGCCAAGTGGAATGGCCAGCACGATTTGCATTTTAGCTAAATTCTGTTCCAATTCTTCGTGTTTCCTGCCAGCAGAGATGACAAAGACGAGCTGGCATAGGTCCTTCACAATGACGTCAAGTGTAAGAGCGGTATGAACGGTAGACAGTACAACGATCACAAAAAACGCCCCCATCAAAGGAGACCGTCGAAGCTTGAAGGTGAGGGGGAAGATGACACTGAGGAACTGGATTGTCGTATTTATAAAAAAGAAAAGTGCCAAGAGGAGGACCTGGAAGACGCTCCAAGCAACACAAGTGAAAACAATCGCGTTATCCACGTCAACACTAAACATACCTCCGCTCACGTTTATTGCTGCAAGCGGTATAAAAACGAGGCACGATAAGAAGCTGAAGATAGCCACAGCAAGAATAACATGACTGTAACGAAACCTGGCTTGTCCAGAGAGCGCCTGAAAATAGCTATGACGGTTTTCAGTCGTGGCATTCGATTTAAATGAACTAACACTGATCATGGAGGTTCTCATTAGTCCAGACATTGTTCTAGTGTACCCACCATAAAAGGCGTTTTCGCGATTATACCTCATGCGATATAATACATTTGCGGAAATAATGCAAATGTTCGTGATTACTCCAAGGAAAGCGATTACAGCACACAAGCAAATAAAACTGATTCGATCATTTCCCTTTAGGGTCAAACGGAAGAGGTTGATCCAGGTGCTTGAGTAACTTTCTGATGCATTGAAACCGCGGAACGTATTCGCCGGCAACCGCGTGCTGGCATTGTTCGCAGTCATTCCTGGCTCACGTGGCAGGACTATCGATTTATTCGAAACACTGAACGTGGTTTGCGATTAAACCATCAGTCATGATTGTGTATTACTGAATTAGAATTTTCTTGGTTTAAGCGTCTGTACGTCTGTACGACACATGTACCAATCCAATGAAACCAAACAGCAAATATGCCACTGATTTACTCGGATATTTTTTTTAAATTACCTTGGCAAATGGCTGTTTCTGTGAGGCAACTTACTGCGAAAACAGACAGTGGTCCTTGAAGCACAAACACGGACTCCGTGGCACTGTTCCTTGGTACCTACTTAGACAGGAATCATTGCCTTGTTCGCACACATATCTTGGAACGCATTTTGGCTGGCGCACATTCGATTTAACCTTCACGCAGACCACAACACGTTTCCGCATATCATGCATTTATACTTGATACGTTTTGCAGCAGAATAACAACCATAAATGCACATTTTGGCAACTCTGGCCCCACAAACACGCAATGTATGCAGCATGGTTTTGTATTTTTATTGTATTTTGCTGAACAGTTTGGTAAAATGAGGTTTTCAGACAAACATAACCTTTGTATTTAAGCAAAGTCTTTAGTCGGTTTTATAATCGGTCTTTATTCAGCGTTTAAACGCCGTCCTTGCTTCATACGCTTGGTATTGAATTAATGTGCAGCTCAATGATGTGTGTTTGTGCCTGTTTGCTTCTTTATTTACTCTTTTACAAAAAGATAGGTCACTGACAATTAAATCTGCTTGTGGTATGGCATGATTCCTTTTATTTCTTTAAAAAAATTACGCAGAATTTAAACCTTGACAAATACTGACATCATGAAGTGAGTAGGTCATCAGGTTGGCGCATTCGCGACGTATACTGTATCAACAAATTATTATTCACAGCATCTGACAGAGGAGGATAAGGAGACCAAGGGCGGTTGTGTCCCAGGCGTTTATTTAGTCCTGAATCTCGTTTGTTCGTGCGTGATCATAAGCGTGATCAGCAGGAATAGCCAATAACAGATATCGGATTTCATCAGGGTGGACATAGCACTAAAGTTGATTGACCCGGAGGGAGTCAAGGGATGGGTTTGAGTAACCACGGCGACAGGTGACGATCGTGCATCAGCACGATTTGCCAAATTTAAGACAACTCTTCATAACATTTGCTTGCCCACTTTTGTTCACTTGTTATTTTACGTACGATGTAGTTTTATATGCCTCTCTTTAAACAGCTGTCATGTTACAGGGATATTTATCACTTTTTTCGATTCGTTGCTGCTCAAAACTTTCCGCTGACTTCTTCGCGCCCCCAAAATAGCTCTTCTTTAAATTGGTACACTGCTTGAAGTTATGCCCAAGCAATATAAATCCGCAATTTGTATCTAGCAAGAAATAACAGTGTTGAGAGCATTGTTAAGTTTGAGTCCTTGTAGGCGAAAATTAAGAAAATATGCTTGTTACACCAACCCAGTTTTTAGAGTTCACTGATTGAAGGGAATTTTACGTACCATCTTGAATAATTTATGACCTCAGGCGTTGTTTTCATTCCTCTGAGCCTAGTTTTTTCGTATTAGCATGAACCAACAAGACGTTGTAATGTATTTTTTGGACCAAAAAGATTGATTTTTAAAAAAAATTCGCTATTAGCGTTGCTAATGAAGCGTTTTGTTTCCGTAAAACATACCATTAAACCAACTGAAGGGTGTAGACCAAGGCATTGTTGAAGCCGCTGCAAGATTGATACTGTGCAGGTCAAAATATCTAACAAGGGTGTAGGCTTAATATAAACCTTAATTATAAACTAAAACGTAGGACATTTTTCCATAATTGAAGCATTTTCACCACGACGGGAAGACAACAGAAAATTATGAATTATTACCTAGCTTTGTGGCGAGGCCGTACGTTCACACTTACAGGGCTAATCTGGCCACAATAATCGATAAATTTCTCCTTTTGACTGCATGATAGGCAGGTGTGACTTGGGTCTGGCGGCAAAAGAAACTCAACCCTCTTTTCGTGTTTCCTGTTCTTCTTTCACACTTTTCTGAGAACTCAATGTTGGTTCTAAGCCCAGCAGCCTCAAATTGCGATGAATTTAACCACGAAACAGAAAAATCATTGGTTTTGTACATATTCTTATAATGCTTGAACTCGCAGCTACATTTTAGGTTAGGTTTGTGGTAGGTGGCTTGCCATCGAAGTTATTGCATTCTTGTGGTCTGAAATAGCACTAAAAACCCAGATAAAAAAGGAGTAGGCTCGTATCGAAAAATAAACAACGGGGGACAACCAGTTCTTGTTTTAAATGCCTCCTAAGTCTAATCTTTAAGAATTTAAACATGATGTTCTAGAGAGGCGTGAGTTAACACAAGAGATGCCCCTTTCGCATGGTTGTGTGCGTGGTGTTAATTTATCCTGCAGAGGTTAAAAAAACGATCCTACCACGAATAATTTTATAATGTGGCAAATAAAATCAACGAAACGGAGCCACGTGGAAAACTCAGCAGCCGTTCATACGTGCACGTCATGATAACGGCTGCGTATAAACGGAACATAAAGTACGGATTGGTGCATAATTTACAACCCGTGATCACCAGATGTTAAAAAAAATCTGCTCGTATCAGAGACCGGCGTGGGTATAGGGTGATCCACTTTGCTGAACCACGATCCCAACCTGTACTAGACTAAGCTATCCCTAAGTTATGTATATCAAGAGATTTAGAGTTTTGAGACATATAATCCCTCGTGAACTTCACAGCTAGTGTTAAGCTGACTACTTGTGCTATGGTTATTCCCTAGCCTATCATTATTTTTGTGACTCAGTCCTTCGCTCTCTTGTTGGTACGTTTGTCGGTAACAATAGAGAATACCACTCAAATAACGGTACCAGATCCCTTGCTGAAAGCAAGAACCCACCTTCCCAGGCTAATACAAGAACAGGACCAGAGCTCGAGTAGAGAGCTTTATTTACGTCAGCCACGTGCAGCGAAGAAGTGAAATCGAAAGTCATTCAAGTCAAGGTTGACCTTGACTTGATAAAAGCGTAACAAAATAAATGTTAATAAATTAATGTAAATAGAATTAGAAACCAATCTTGGGGAATCGTGGATCCCCAACACTTGTAAATGCTTCAATTTTAGCTCTACTTATTTTCAAAAGCATTATATTTCAGTAGAAGGAATTTTAACCTGCTTTGTTCAGAAAATACAGTCCCATTAACTCATTATTGAACTTAAATTCACTTGGTTACATGAAAATAAATGAGTTTGCGAAATCTTCTCGCAAATAATAAACACAAAATTCAGGGTAATCACCCCAAATAAATTAAGCATTTGCGATTAATTCGACTCATTGCATGCGAACAATGCGTGAGATGTGAGACCTTAAGGAAGAACATTGTCATATTTCCATTCAAGACTAGATTTCTTGATCACAGAGATGAGATAATTCAGGCATCTACCATTTGTTCGTTCTGGTGGTTGCATTGAATTGGTGACAGCTATTCTAACTCAGTGATTGTTTTTGTGCTGGCCTCACAAAACACTCGACAAATTGAAGCAATTATGTTAAAACGCCATTGGATTGTGGATAATATCTGCGAAAAGGTGAATAAACATTTCAATTAGTTTCTCCTGTACTTTCGCAGTCATTTTTTTCATTTTTAACTGTCTCTGCGAGACTAATTTAAATTTCAGTTGTCTTAAGTAAACGAGGTTAATTTAAAACAAAATCAGATGACAGAAGCTGGATTGCAAGTGAAAAGCGTTTTTTTTTGCAGCGATTGTAATATGAAGACTTGAAATGTTCTATGATGTCTTTGACAAAAACCGTCCATAATCAGTAAGTAGCGGTGTAAATGTCAACCGGAAAAGTTGTTGATAATGCACATTATTTGCACGTGATTTTGAAATAAGTCGAGATCGCAGAGTTCCAGCCACACCCTCACAGTCTCGTGGTATAGAAAGCCCGGCGAAGATTTGCGAATGCAACAGCTAGAAAGATACTGGCACAGTTTCGCATCCAACATTTTGCCTACATGTTTAACCATGTTTGGCAAGTCCTAGTGGATCCGTGACTGTGACCATTTATAAAGAATTTTGTAGAAAAATATAACCTGTCACTGGTAAAATTCGGTGACTGGTTAACAGCCAGGATTTATTGCAGCCTTGGTAAACAGAAAAAATCGCAATAATGGCCATAGCAAATCTCTATTTCTAGAAAAAAACTTTCGTTTAACAATTCATTTCTAGGAAGCAGGTTAAGTTAATTTTCAACGGGGACAAAACTTAGACCTGATATGGTGAGGTAAAGAAAGAAAAATTGCTGCTGTAGTTGTATACGTTCGAAAGGGATTTACACGTTTGTTAAATATTCACTGCAGCAGTTTGCACTTGCTAACCTAAAAACTCATACACGAGCAATGCCGCAAGCACGAAATTCGTTTAAAATGTTCTGACTTAACAGTCAAAAAGCAGTCACCACTGGTCCTCCGTGGCTCTACAAATTGTCTTACCTAAAATATGTATTCAGTTAGCCAATCAAGAACAAGCACTCATTTAGACACTTTTTGTTCAGTAAATTCAAAGGAAAGCGGCAGGCCTAGCCGAATTTTAAGAGAATCTGGCAATAGTTGTAGCACTTTTATTTAAACGCAGGTTCTGTTAGGGAGTAAATGCTGACTCAAATTCTTATTGGCTAATGGTATCTAACAGCAGTTTTGATTTCAAGATTGGTAACTCGAATGTCAAGGCAGAATGCGTGTAGAGTGCATTCGAATTCCTCACATTTTAAGGTGGATTTTGTATCGCAAGCCAAAAAAGATATTAATGTATTATGCTCATTACAATTGCCAACACAACGGTTAAATTATGGCTATGAATAAAACATTTTTGGCTTTGAGGTAAGGCATTTGCGTGGCGATTAGTAACTGCGACTAAAGCCCAGTGCAACAGTACTAGATTGCGATTTTGGCACCCTTAAATAGTCGTTTCACTGAAATAACAAAAGTACTTTTATCATTAAGCTGTTGAAATTGGGTATGAGTTCATCAACCTCTTTCGGTTGCTCCCAAGGCCTCCCTGAACTATGCGGGTCGGGCAACCACGAAATGCTGTTGAACCGTTTGCGCGTCTGCCTTAATTTTTAATGTGTCGCAGATCACCTTAATAAAGTAAAGTCGAGGAACTGTTAAAGGCTGCTTTCGTGCATGCTCTGTAGCCACTTTTATTGAAGGATCATAAACGTTTTTAATTGGTTCCGTTGATTAGGCGTGAGCTCACGTCTTTTCCTTACCACTCAATAAAAGCGCCAATAAACGATTTCACCGTGGTTTTTTGATTACTTCTCTATTTTGCAGCCTTGTAATATGACTTTAATTATCAACGCAAAGTGTGCGATGCTAACTGTACCGTTTTTTTCAAATTACTTGCAAACACGTGAGTTTTAAGTGTAAATTGTCGTCTTAATTCAGATCAGTCCTTGCATGATTGTTATTTAGGGGCTGACTATTATAATAAGCATTTTGTTTCCCTGCCAAGGGTATTAAATCCATTACTTGCAAGAAGTGGTCTTCCCACGCAAGGAAAAAACAAATTGTTACAAGCCGTTCGAGTTTCAGCGGATCCCCTCATCCTGTATTGGTGGCGCGTGTCCAACAGCAAAAATTCAGATCTGTATATTATTTTTTCCGCTCGTAAACAAAGTCTCCAGGATTTATTAAACTTTCTGAGGCAATTTCACTGCTTACTTAAAGTGAATCCTCTAATGCTTCACTTCAAGAACCTTTATCTACTAAAGGCTGTGATGTACACAAGGTAATGCATCAGGCAATTAACACTGCCTTCTGTCAGTGATTCGAATACTAGCCTCTTCTAGGTATCTTTTCAGATCTCCAAATAAAGCGAATTATCGCATGTGTACCCTTGACAGTGCGATCTGAAAATTAGACTTATTTTGCAATAACGAAAGGGCCTAATTAATTTGCCCTTCCTCTTAAATTATGAGGTATTGTCTAAATTGGCTTGTTTGACACGCGATAATATCATGTGCTTTGACTCAAGAGCTAGGCAAACATCGGAATGGCTTTATGATTCCGCTGGGGCATTGGCATCTTATTTGTTCAGAGTTACTTTGGTCTGACTATTTGGTTGATTTTAGGTGCTTAGTTCGATTACCCCTAGTCCATTAACCTTTTGCATGCAGCGGTGCTAGTACTACTATGTACCCTATTTGTAGTTTTTTGAATGTTACACGCGCTATTTGTATTCCCCTCGTTATATCAGGGAAAGGCAATTTTCACCATCCTTACGTGTAGTTCGTTAGCGATTGTTGTTTGCGTATAATTTTGTTGGTTTTCAAGTGCCACTTCAAGTAATTAAGTTAGTGGATGTTGTTGGTGTAAGGGAACGTAAGTCTTGAAAATACCTCAACAACAGGAATTTCAGTCCTTGTCAATAAAAGCAGGCGATATTCTTCGGTAGCATGGAATTTCGCAGGTTAAAAATAGCCCTACAATTCTGAATCCATCAGTCCATAGATGTACTCAGATAACCAATACCAGTGGGTATTGAATTATAGCATCTAACTTTTGGGCTTAGGGAAATTTGTACAAGGCAGATGTCAGTTAAATTCAAGAAAATGTGCGCGCTAAAATTTATGCTGCACTTTTAAGGCAATATCTCTGGCTTTTACTGATGACGACTGATGTTCTCGTGTTGGCTATGGTCTTGTCCACGAATGACAATCTTAGCATATTTTGAAAACGTTTCTGCCATGTTTGAGCACACGAGACTGGTGTTGACTACTGAATTTAATTTAATCATATTCTGATGGAGTTACGTTTGTTGAATAATTTACTCGTCAGTCGCAGGTAACATTCTTATGGATACTGACAGCAAGACACGATAAACAACGACCATCTCACAGACGCAGCAGGCAGTCAGTTTTCTTTTTCTTCATTTTGCCCTGGTGGCATTGCTCCCACTTGGCTTGGCACCAATATCAACACTAGCATTATAAAACTTGTTGATATTTGAATATTGTTTGTCCCGGTTCCATGGGATTTCCAAATGTTCCAAATAAGACAATAATTTCACGTTCACCGTGAGCATTCTAAGGTCTTCAACAAGTGATTCCATGGTTTTCTAAGTGTACATCTTTATAACAATGAAATTCTTAGCAATCGGAACTTGTCTACGATCCAGTGAAATTTGATCTTTTAGAAATCGAAATATGTATTAGTTCATGCGCTTACCGGCTAAAGTAATTGCTGAATTGGCATTAATTCAATGAGGAGGCGATTGCCTACCTATTACAGAATCCTTCTTATTAAGCGCATATCTGACGGAGAACGCAATTCATCTATCACAAAGTGAAATAGCCCACAATAAATATGAAAATATTGTGTTTGTTTCTAATATCAGAACCAAACTTCGAGGGATTTTTCAGGTACAAATTTGGAGCCGTTACCACAGAAGATGCTAAAAAACTGATTTCTTGGGAACACGGATCAGACTGCAGTTTAACTTCATCATTTTGAGCAAATGTTGACTCAATTCATATATTACGCAGATTACTGTTTGCTGGTCTTTTCGCAGGTTCGTGACAGAAATCGCAATGAATCTAAACTTCGGTTTATCATAATTCATTTTTTTTGAGACTATACATGCATTTCCCTAAAATACACAAATTTATTAAAAGGATAAAATGTCAAGTGTTCGGATTCATGAGCTTACAGCATGCCCACAGAAAACTTCCTATGCGCTAAATGTTCAGGGTGTCGCACGACTGAGGGAATTAGCAGTTGCCTCATTCTTCATCCATCCTACATATCAATACTTTTTTCTTTAACGATATGAAATGTATTTCAGTTTTCCAGTCATGTGGAAGGTTCAGGGCGTTCAAAGTGCCCTATACGTAGTCTTACTTCCAGGATCAAAGCAATTTCCACAAACCACTACGTCATCAACCATATAAAACGATTTTATAAACTTGGGAGGAACTGCACCAGGAAGCCAGCAATTGTATAAATTTGCCCCTCATAACATTCGGAAAAATGAACCATTATAATTGATCAATGCTAAAATGCACAAATTTGTCCCATAACACATGTTTTGGATTTCGGTAGGCGATTTTGTTACACTTTTGATTTCGTTAAGGGAAAATCCTTCAAAATTTACGCTGTAGTTTAAAAGAATTAAGCTTATTCGTTGAATACGACAGTAGATTTTCAATTCTAAGGTCGCAAAACCTATTTTGCAAAAATAAGTGTGGATCTGGTTTGTAAGGTTTTGCCAAGAAAACTACTCACGCAAATATGCGAAATCCTTCAGCCGAAATAAACAATTTAAGGAGTTCGAATAGGAAAAAAGATTTTAAATTTCAGAAGACTAAAAGTCGACATTTATACTCGAGACAACCCTAATAGCAGTAAAATGTTGGATATTTAACGAATTAAGTTACCAGTGAAAGATGTTTATTGATAAATAATTGGAAACTGCTTTGGTAAAGAAATTTTCAAAAATCGCTATTGAGATATCATAATTACCATGAACTGGAACAAGCTGAATGGATCACTGTTATTCTAGACTTATCACAACCACTTTGCAAAACCATCAGCTCAATTAGCTAAATCAGAAAAAAATGATTTTTAGGGTGTTTTAGTGTTTGTAATGGTCTTCTTTGGTGCTACCGTAGCGTAGTTATTTCCTGGTAGCTCGAAAAGTGGTTTTTGAACTTAAATGTAATAAGTGTTTTTGGACAGGTAACCTCTTACTTAAGGCATTTATTTTACCAGTTAAAAGAAAACCCTAATTATGTCATTTTCTTCAAGCTGCCGAACTTATTAAGATATCAAGTATAAGTTCCTATTTTTCATGGTCATGCCATTGATTAGCCAAGTTTTATCGACCTTAACGATAAGTAAAATTCGACAAAATATCAATTCTAAATTTAAAAAATAACACGAATTTACAATTTTATATTTTTAACTGATGCTTAGATTAGAAAAAGATGCATCATTTTGGTCTTTACTTGTCCCAATTAGCATAGCGGTATTTTCAGATTTGTGCGTGATGGTGGGTTGTGTTCATTTTGGTACTTGGGGTTGCTTCGTGAATATACTTTTAGGTTTAGCTTTCGCAAACTAGTGAAAGCCCTTTGCTAAATTAAAAAGTCTAATAGAATCATATTGTACCTACAACCGCCTTTTATAAACCACACTTATCTTTCCTGGTTTATCGTGTAGGCAACCCCTATTCACGTGCAATGTTCTATAGAATATTCGGTTTTTGTGGTGGGCGGTGGCATACTCGTTATCAACTTCCCATAATACCGTTCCCTGCTTGATGAATTGTCGCGTTACTAGCGTTAGGTTGAATGGTTCATTTTACCACCCTCCGAGTTCTCCGAGGCTGACAGCTGATCCGATTCGGTTATTTATTTGGTATTTCCCACTCAAAAATACTTTGACGTTTGTTTTAGGCATTTGTTTTAACTGGTATTTTAAACAACTTTAGGCTGAAGAAGTCAATCCGAAGGCATACCCGTTGGCCAGTCCAGATTTAACAGGGAAAATAATTGAGCTGCTTAAACAGGCAGCATCTTATAAACAACTGAAGAAGGGCGCTAATGAAACCACAAAAGCCCTAAATCGTGGAAAGGCAGAATTCGTTGTGATGGCTGCAGACACGAATCCTATTGAAATTGTACTACATCTTCCTCTCGTATGTGAAGACAAGAATGTCCCGTACATTTTCATACCCTCACAACAGGGTTAGTTTTGTTGTTTGCGCGTTTTCATCTTTTCGGCATTTTATTCCATTATTTTTTTTAGCACTAGGACGTGCCTGTGGCGTCTCGAGACCTGTCATTGCGGCAGTTGTAACCGACAGTGAGGGCTCTCAATTGAAACCGCTCGTCAGCAACATTCAAATGAGCATTGAAAAACTTTTGATATAATAATCCTAAATTTTATCGCTGTACATTTGTTAAGTCAATACAACTGTTTCTTCACCCTTTTGGCGTCTGCTCTAGTGTACATTACTCCAAGCTTTTGTATTGCTTGAAATGCGTGTCTTGAGTACAATCCCGGTTCAATGTTTTGTTGTACACGCAAGAAAGCAGTCATAATTTAGGCGCAATTTATTTTAAGTGTAGATTACACAATACAGAGCAGCATAGCACATTGAATCACTACAGGGTATCGTTAATAAGGCAATGGTAAATTTAATGGAGCTGTTAGTTTAAGGGCAAGTCCTCGCACCGGGAGGTAATCGGAAACATGTTGGGATATCTACGAGGTGTATAGTAAATTGGTAAATGAATTGATGCATCCGATAAACGGATTTATGTATCCGACTCGCTTGAGATCCATGTTGGCCCACCGAATGTTCATATTTTTCTTTGCCCTCTCGCTGAGTTCGTGGATTGTCGGGAGCAGTCGTAGTAGTTTGGCGTAGCGGGACTGTGAGTGTGTTATAGTTTCACAGTACATCCTCAGTATTTCTGCCCACGATTCTTGTGTCCAACGTATTGGTAATGGGTCCACAAGCCCAGCGCGGTCAGGGGTGAAAAGGATGATCGCCATCATTAGCCCAATTTCATCCAAGTTGGGTGCTAAGCTTTGTACCTTCTTTGCAAGATTAAAAAGGCGATCAACAAATGCCCTTGAGTCAGCGAAGCCAATGTTGTAGAGGCCGGCGTCGTCTATCTTCGCGGACCACTTGGTTACAAGTACGCTATCCGTGGGCTTTGAGCTGGTACTCAACCCCTCGCATAGGCGCAAAATCTACCAAAACCGGTTTGGTATAAGTTATAGCTTAATGACAATAGGTAGGTTGTACTTGTGTAACTCACCGCAATTTCTAGGAGGGCAGGCTGCATTAAGGCGTTTTGATCTGACTCTGGTAGCTTACAGAATTCATCCAATCCCTCGACAAAATTGCGTATAAAATGGAACTCTGCGTGGCATAGAAACCCACGAGAGAAAACATAGAAGGCTTTAGTCTAAAACATTGAAATGAAATCGATTCGCATGTAGCAGTATGCTCAAATATGCTTCCGTTTACTTACCAAGGGGTCCAGTGTTACTATTTTGCGCTCGTCTGGCCTTTTCTGTCCATGCACCCCTAGAGCTTTCTTGTGGCAAGCGTTTACAAGTTGCCTCAGGCGTCCGATTGTCTGTTCGATGGGGTGAATCTCAATTTTCACTGAATGGTTGATGCGTGGTGAGGCGGCGGACGCCTCATAGACTTCACTTGGGACGTTGGACGTGTTCACCAACTCGGGGTAGGAAGCTGTCACCTCGTTGAGGTCTTGCGACCTCACTGTAAGAATGAAGTAGATGTGAATTGCTCACAATCGGGCAACATAATGCTACACATTACTCCGTACTTCTCATTCCGGCTTGAGTGCATTTCACGAAGCGGCAATACTGGCATTTATTGCGCTGCGTAGGCGTGATTTCACATCTCTTGTTTCTTGGGCACGTATAAGGCGTCTTTCGCATAACGGAACGTCGGAAAAAACCCTGCATAGACACGAGTCACATTATTGGGTAAAGAAGAGGGAATTGGTGTAAATGTGTAACGCGGTACCTTACAACCTTCACAGGCTGGGACGCCGTGGTGCACCCCTGTCGCGACGTCACCACAAATCGCACAGAGGCCTTTCCGTGAATTGATTGTAGGATTTCGCATTCTGCGGCAGGACCTAGAAATGGGGCGGTAGGGTGTATGGGGTAACTTTCCATCGATATATGCTGCGTCGTGGGGAGTGGCGTGTACTTCATATGGCAAGGCGTCGGGTGGCGCTGCAAATTCCCTCTGAGTAGGCGCAGATGAGGTAGGTGGCAAGTGGTAAAATTGTGCGGGTGGGGCTTGCAACTGAATCACAGGGACGGGACATGGCGCGGATGCAGAAGCGTAGTCATTCACCGTATAATAAGAGCTGCACTGTGACGTGGCAAGTTTAATAGGTGTTGACTGCGCAAATTCGTCCACAGCAGCTACAGGAACTACAATGCAAAAAGGCGCTACGTCATATTACAGATGATATTCTGCAAAAATGGTGCAAGTGACCTATCTTACCAGTTGATGGAGCGTCTAATTGCCGGAGGTCGTCCACAACACCATTCGAAAAGGACATGGCTGCATCCGTTTGATTCTCTGATGCATTGCTTTGATAGGATAAAATGGGGTTAAATCCTTGAGAGTTAAAATTTCCAAGGAATTCATCCGCGGCGTCTAAATCTACGTTAAATTGGCTTTGATTTTCGGAATTAGTAGGGTCGAGCCACTCCAGTTGAGGGCCTGACTCCTCCGGAGAGACACTTGCGTAAATAAAATTATACGATCCTTGGCGCTGACTCATACGGTTGTTTCTAGCGGCAATGTCATAGTTTTGCCGTATTTAGGCGCTCTGAAAAAAGAAAAGTGAAAGTGGACAAATTTTCGACACTCCGAGTCACTTCTCATAACCCGTGGTCGTGATTACTTTTGAAATACGTTAAATGGTATAATTACAAAGTCAAGGGCACATGTTTGATGTAGGGAAAGCAGCAAAAGAGCAACCAAAGGTTTACTCACTTGTTGGTACATCGGGCCCGCGATCCACGAGCTCCTGCTGCCGACTCTAACAACCTGACTGGTGAATTGACGATCGTCTACGTTTGCTCGTATGTGTAGAGCGCCGACCAATCAGAACGCCGTTGGATCAGAGTTGGCAAATGTATAAGGCCGTCCGCTTGCGTGCGCGCGCGCGCAAGCTTGTCTGATGGCCTTTAACCTCTGCAATCAGCTGGGACCTGCTCGATGACTCATCCTTTCACCTTAGGTCTACGCTGCAGCGGGCTTAAATGTGCGACGCACGCTGTGAACGGTTTTTGTGTGTGTGCTAATACAAGCCAGCGAATTTGTCAAAGTCGTGACCTTAGTTAAAATATATTCAGTAATTTTTATTGACGATGCCCTTCACTATTATTAAACGCATATTAAGAGGCAAATGATGCACGCACCTAACAAATATGATTCCCAAACACCGACACTAACACTAAAATAAGACTGACGTTGAGTCAAAGTGAGGTTTAGTGCCATGTACCAAATTTTCTAACCAAAGTCGTGCAAATTATGGGTTCTTCTAATGTGAATCGGCGAGGTCAGGCCCATGGAACTCAAATAATTTAACCCGCTAATAGCCCACGCACTAATCAGCGATGAGTCTGATGACCATTGAGGGATCTTGATTGCCTCAAAACTTGCTTTACTCTCCTGAAATACGGTACTGTTTTATGGACTGAATACAAACAATCGACCGCTTAGAGGCTGGACGTCGACACAACCGTTTATTTCAGAGCTTAATCACGTGTGAAAAAGCGCGAGTCACAGACGTGCCGTGACCAAGCCTTAGGTTAGTTATCACACGCTACTCTGGTGTGAACTGACGGCGTGCTGCGCAAAGAGGACGGAGTAACGGGATGACTGTGCGTGAATCTTGCCGCGGAATCCTCATTCGTTGCAAAACAAACAACTGATCTGACCCATTACAGCACGTTATGCTGAGGCCTTCTAGAATTTCAACAGACTAGTGGCAATCACGCGAAGAACCACGCCTCTGAGATATCAGCTCACTCAACTAATGCAACGTCTCGAGTTGCACTCACCTCAGAATTGACATACGAAGGGCGGCCTACCTTAAAACATGTCTGTCTCTATAAATCCCCTGATTCGAATAAATGTCGTAAATGCAATGACCAACGCAATGTCTGATTAACAGTTCAATTTATTGGCATCGCCTTTGTCTGTTTACAAATTGCAATCACAGTTAACAGGCAGGACGATAGAGAAAGGATCAAGAATCAGGCCGGGGGACGGCAGACTGTACACAGAAAGCGATACGGCTGAGCCGGGGAGTGACAGGGCCTGCGATCAGCACATCACGAAGTCCGGAGGGCACGGGGGAGGAGTGAGTCATCGAGGTCTGGGGGGCTGCGGTCTACTTCCCAGCGTGGGAGGCTATCCATTCTAGCCCTTGAGTAAGACTACAAGGCGGAACAGAGTCTAAGTGAGGTGACGCGCCCCTTCTAACACGACTTAATAGAGCAAAAAGATCAGCCAGACACTGATAATCAAAATCATTGTCAAAACCAGTTTGTGTTAAACACACAACTGCATTTCTTAGCATACCTTTCTTCTTCGTTTGTCTAGTAAACTCAGAGATAAGTGTAGCAAATATCAAGTTTACAGAAAAAGGAATACCTAGGGAAAAAAGCTCCGAGTCATGAATTTTAAATTATCAAGGAATAATACCAGCACAAAAGATCAGGAAGATGGAAAAGAGGCGTAATGGAGAGTGAACTGTGCATTGCAGTGTAAAAGTGCATTTTGAGTGCACCTCTGCAGATATGGTGAAAAGCCCCTCACGATATTATGGCCGAGATCTTCGTAAACAATGTGATTGGGGATTAAATTGCGCGTGGTGGTGGAGAACTCGATTAGGCCATCACTCGTCGTCATAACATGCTAGCCGAACTCGATCAGATCAATCTACTTCTAAGTATCGAGAAGTGCATTAGATAGTTATCACACGCAGAAGACAACACCATCTGTGCATTTGATTTATGCACTACTGTTGCTCTTGAAGTAGCAAAAGAATACCATAAGTGGTTCTCTGAAGACTAACAACTAGCTATGGACGCCGATTCCCTACAAGCACCAATCGAGGAATAAACCAACACCGACAGAAACGTGAGGAGAACACAGCCTTGCTTTCGGCAACATACCGGAGCGAAAAGATCGACCGCACGGTCCGTTCTAAATACGGTTAAAAAGCAGCATTAGACACGCAGGGCAGCGTCAGCTAGATCAACCGGTGTCAAATTGAACCACCCATGATTAGTGTGCGTACGTGTGCCAGGAATTTAAACTAAAAGCTCAAGTTACCTATATCAGCAGTATAGAAAGTCGAATGAACCACTTGCGTGTGGATTAAGCATTCTAGCGGTTATTTAACCATGACCTCAAACTCTGGTGAGGGCAAGAGGCCACCGAACCGGCATTTCGTAAAGCTAGCTAAATCGCAAAACACACAAATCGGCAGATTTGCCAAGGTTGACATAGTTTTACAAGGTTGAAAGGTCGCCTGTGTAAAGTTGTTGATAAACGGCACAGCCATAAGGGAAAACGACCCATCAGTATGAATTTATGGATTGTGTCAAAACGATTGTCCTTGCACTAGCTAACAAAATACCCAATTAAGTAAGAGCACTAAAGTTGTCCTTCGTTCCTGCGTGGAAAATCTCGTAAAAAAAACCGAAACGACTGAGAGCAAGACCAGAAAGCAAATGAACGTCTCAAGTACTCAACGATATGCCACTTTAATTTTCACGGGATAGCGCATCAAGTTAACACTACTGCCCGGTCTTAGTGACTATAAAGTGCGACAATACGATTGGGTAACTTCAGCCGTAATAGGCAGAAGCATAGTGGACCTGAAATGTGCGACAGACAGGACTTCGGTTAATTGAAACTACGCAAAACCAGGACATTCCCAAGAGAGCTGCGTTTGCAACAGGATAACAGTCATGAATTTTTGACGCGAATGCTACACCTGAAAATCCCTTAGGTAAATGGTAACCAAATGTGTTAATGGAGAAATGCTGCCAGCTGAAATTACCCATAACAGTTTCACACGATACAAAGGAGCTTCGCAAATATTACTTTAATTTATTGATTCGACTAAGCACAAAGAATACCAAGTTCACTGCCTAGACTCACCTCTTGACCCTGGTAAAACAGGAAATAGGAACAAATAAAAGCCCCAAAAAAATCCGTCGCAATTTTTTGTTCGCGACATACATATAATGAATTTACCCCACTTGCGTGTGTGCCACCCAGTTTGTCAACGCTTTTACCGACGTATACCTGATTGGTACCCTTAATCCAAAACTAGCATGAATTCAGTCGCCTGATCTTGCTTGGAGAGTTAGTAAACAACCACGCCCGTCTTTACAGCTATGCAAATAGATTTCGCATTTGCAAAAAGACGCCAACCACAAAATGTAACTCTAAATCGGATTAGCAAGGATTGTTCTAGCTAGGTTACATATCGCACTCTACGATACATGCCAGATCCTTTGAAACGTAGGGGGTTACCTGTGACAGAGCGAATTTACCTTTCGTGATAAAAAAATTCCGTAGCAAAAAGTCGAAACATGGATATCAATGACAAAGTTTGGTTAGAATGAACATTTGAATCACACAAAACGTAACGACATTCCACCATGCAAGTTAATATTTGAAACTTGGTACCAACATGACTATCGTGCATACATAACATCACAAATACGTACGTTAGGTCGAATTAAGATGCTGTAAGATGCTGTCGAAATGGCAGGCCTTAAATATTACAAACTGTATTTCGTCAGGATTTACAAAACCGAACCATTAACCTTAGAAAATCTAAAACTATGTAATATTTTGCATTACTTTCAACCCATGGTAGTTTGCACTAGCAATGGAATTTGAACTGTGTGGTTGGGCAAAATAGCGAGAATTTTAACAAACTCAAGCAATCGCCAATTCAAATTCTATCGGTTAGCACTATTATTGGTTTTAAGTTCTTCCACAAACACATGATACAAGGAAACTCACTTGAAAATGATGCTCCCGCATTAGGCAAGTTCTAATGACAAAAGACATGAAATTTGTTTAACCAAAATGTGTACAAAAGCCCTAATCACCATTATCTTCTTATTATGACGAACCAATTTGTTTTGGTCAAACATGAGCACTTCCCAAGGCTACTTTCCACAATAGCTCCTTCAACATTCAGAAATTAGACTTTACTATAACGCAAAGACAAAAAC